TCTGTGCCCCTACCCTGATGTATTTTCTCCATAGCACATTTCCGTGTCTAAAAGTGCCGTGTTTATTTACCATATTACATGTTTGAAGTCTCTCTCCCTAGAAAGGAAGTTTCAAGCCAGGACCCTCGGTTGTCTTCTCCACTGTGTCCACAGCACCTGGAGTAATGCCAGCCTGTTGTAAATGTTCAGTAAACATTTGTTGAATGAATATATGTATTAATCAAATATACTCTCATTGCATAATGTCACATGTGGATTCCAAAGACTGAAGTTCACACTTACGTTAAGAGAGACATTTTTGTTGCTTTAAAGTGAGACAGGTCAGGATCAAAACTAGAAACAATTTTGTGTTACTGTGAAGCAGTTTTTTGTTTTGTTTTGTTTTATTTCCCTGTAGCTTGACCTGAAAGAGTTAAATGCTCAGCATCATCGGGAGCTGAGCAGAATTTCAGCTCTTGTTGCCGTTCCTTTTCCATTAGTAGATTTTAGTCATATGTTCTGTTGTCAGAGACTGCTCGTAGGCATTGGTAGCTTTTTAGCCCTTGTGGTGAAGTTGTGTGAATTTTTAAAGTCCCATAAAGAAGACACAAGGACTTTTAAAGACATACCGTTTGATGAATTGCAAGATTCGATATAGTGAAGATGTCACATCTCCTCAGATTGATCTATAGATTTGAAACAATTCCAATCAAAATCCCAGCAGGATTTTCTTGTAAATACAAGCTGATTCTAAAATTTATATGGAAAGGTAAAGGAACTAGAATAGCCAAAACAGTTTTGAAAAAGAATAAAGTTAGAGGCATCACACCAACTGATGTTATAATGTAGATTTTAAATACAGATTAATAAAGCTATGGTCATCAAGAGCTTTGAGTTGGTGGAAGGATAGACACATAGATCAAAAAAGGATAGTCTTTTTTTCTTTTTTTTAAAGTAACCAGAAGTATTTAAAATACTCTTTTTTTTTAAAATTTATTTTTGGCTGCGTTGGGTCTTTGTTGCGGCGCACAGGCTTTCTCTAGTTGCGGCGACTGGGGGGGCTGCTCTTCATTGCGGCACACAGGCTTCTCACTGTGGTGGCTTCCCTTGTTGCGGAGCACAGGCTGTAGGTGCACGGCCTTCAGTAGTTGTGGCGCATGGACTCTAGAGCACAGGCTCAGTAGTTGTGGCACACGGGCCTAGGTGCTCTGCGGCACGTGGGATCTTCCCGGACCAGGGCTCGAACCTGTGTACCCTGCATTGGCAGGCGGAGTCTTAACCACAGCACCACCAGGGAAGTCCAGAGAAAGGATGGTCTTTTCAACAAATAGTATTGGAAAAATTGGGCATCCATTTGCCAAAAAAAAAAAAATTTACCTAAATCTCCTGCGTTATATAGAAATGAACTCAAAATGGATCGCAGGTCTAAATGTAAAACTATAACACTTTTATTTTTTATTTATTTATTTTAAAATTTATTTATTTGGCTGTGCCGGGTCTTAGTTGTGGCATGAGGGATCCTTTAGTTGAGGCATGCAGGCTCTTAGTTGCAGCGTGCATGTGGGATCTAATTTCCTGACCAGGGATCGATCCTGGGCCCCCTGCATTGAGAGCACGGAGTCTTAACCACTGGACCACCAGGGAAGTCCCTATAACACTTTTAGAAGAAAACAGAAGATATCTTGACCTGGGACTGGGCAAAGAGTTCTTATAGATGACATCAAAAGCATGAACCATGAAAGAAAAAAAATGATTAAATGGATTTCATCAGGGTCCACAACTATTGAGCTCCCGCGCCTCAGTGAGAGAGCCCGCGTGCTGCAAACTACAGAGCCCACGTGCTCTGGAGCCCGTGTGCCACAACTAGAGAGAAGCCTGAGCACTGCAACGCAGAGACAGCTCACAGTAACGAAAGATCCCACATGCCTTAAAGATCCCGTGTGCTGCAACTAAGACCCGACACAGCCAAAAAAATAAGGAAAATAAATAAATATTTTTTAAAAAAGGATTTCATCACAAGTAAAAACTTTTGCTTTACAAAAGACACTCACTGGTAAGTGAATGAAATAGCAGGTAGAGACTGGGAAAAATATTTGCAAATCACATATGCAAGAAAAGACTTTTATCCAAAATATATGAAGGACTCTCAAAATTCAGTAGTTAAGAAAACAAACAACACAATTAAAACATAGGTATGAGACTTTGTAAAGAGACACTTCACCAAAGAAGATATGTGAATGGCAAATAGGCACATGAAAAGATGCTCAACATCATTATTAGCCATTAGGGAAATGCAAATTAAAGCTGTGATGAGACATCATTATACACTTCTTAGAATGTCTTAAAAAAAAAATACCATGTGATGAGAATGCGGAGCAGCAAGAACGGTCGTGCGTTACCTGTGGGAGGCAAGTGGCGCGCCGCTTTGCAAAGCAGTTTGGCAGCTTCGTATGAAGTTAAACAGCAGTCTCACTCCTAGGTGTTTACCCTAGAGATATGAAAAGTTATGTTCACACAGAAACCTGCCCATGAGTGTTTATGACAGCTCTCTTCAGAATTGCCAAAAACTGGAAACAGCCCAGATGCCCTTAAGGGGATGAATGGATAAACTATACTATGTCCATGTGACGGAATAGTGCTCTACGATAAAAAGGGACCAACTGTTGGTGCACGCACCAGCTTGGATGAATCTCAAAGGCGTAATGCTGAGTGAGAGAAGCCAGTCTCAAAAGGTTATGTACTTAAAGACATAGAGTGCAGTGGTGGTTGCCAGGGGCTGGAGGGAAGGGAGAATGGGGAGTTTTTGTTTACTGGGTATAGAGTTTCAGTTTTACAAGATGAAAAGAGTTATGGGGATGGATGGTGGTGATGGCTGCACAGCATTGTGAATATATTTAATACCAGGAAAATGTACACTTAAAGATGGCTTGAAAAATGGTTAAGATGGTAAAGTTTATGTTATACGTGTTAACCACAATAAAAAGAGGAAGAAAAAGGTTATGCATTGCATAATTTGATTTATGGCATTCTTGAAAAGACTGTAGAGTGATGGGGCACAGGTCACTGGTTGCCAGGAGTTAGGGGAGGGTGTGGCTTCAAAGGGGCAGCATGAGGGGGTGTTTGGGGAAGATGGGCTGTTCTGTATCTTTATTGTGGTGGTAGTTACACAAATCTCTACGAGTGTTAAAACTCATAGTCATAGGCCTGGGGCTTCCCTGGTGGCGCCGTGGTTGAGAGTCCGCCTGCCAATGCAGGGGACACAGGTTCGTGCCCCGGTCCGGGAAGATCCCACATGCCGTGGAGCGACTGGGCCCGTGAGCCATGGCCGCTGAGCCTGCGCATCTGGAGCCTGTGCTTCGCAACGGAAGAGGCCACAGCAGTGAGAGGCCCGCGTACCGCAAAAAAAAAAAACAAAAAAAACAAAAAACAAAAACCTCATAGACCTGCCCACCAGAAAGGCAATTTTACTATATGCTAATTTAAAAATAAAAACAAACTCCCACACCCTGCTGAAGTTGCTCCAGGGTGCAAAGCACAAAACTAAAGCGCTGGAATAAATGCAGCATAAAAGCAATTGAAATGAAAAAATAAAAATAAAAAAGCTATGAAGTCACTCCCTGTCAGTATGTAAATAAACAAAAGATGAAATTTGCCACAAAAGCTAACCACAGGCTTTTTACATATCTGATTGCAAAAGCCTGTTGAAGTAGTTTTCACATCCTTTTTTGAAGTCTGTTACTGCTAACTTGTAAGAAGTTGTGCACAGTATTCGTGCTTTTTAAATTTTCAATAAAGCTTTCAATCCAAATTTTACTCTCCTTGCAGTTGAACTTTGATTTTCCCAGTTTTAGTTTGCTCTAGTTCAGCTTGGTGGGCACGGGAATGCCTTTGTGAACCAGTCAGGGCTCTCAAGTGGGGGCTGGGTGTAGGGGAGGCTTTCAGTGAGTTAGTGGATCACACCTGCGCCTTGTGTCAGGGTCGATTCTGGGGCTTAGAAAGTGCAGGTGCTCAGAGTGCCCCCCCAAGGAGATTTAGGAAATTCAGAGTCTGTGTTTGGGCTGCCTCCTAGACAGCTCTGTGTATATGTGCGTGTGTTTGTGTTTAAAGCTCTGTCGTGGTTATACTGAACAGCCTGCTTTGAGATCCATGGGGGTAGAATGGGAGTCAGACACAGGCAAGAGTGGGGGGCCAAGTGTAGTAGGGATACACAAGAGGGCTGGCAGCCAAGCCTGGGGAGGGGCGTCCTGAAGGAAGTCTTCCTGGAGGCGGTGACTCCCGAGCCAGAGTCCCGAAGGACATGGAGAATTATTAGACAAGGACAAGGAGGGTGTTCCACGCAGAGGGAAAGAGCGGGATGTGGACAGGGTACTGCAAGCATTTGGTACTAGTGGAGAAGCATATGGCAGGGGGGCAGATGGGAGAGGACACCAGGGTGGAGTGGGGACCAGGGCGTGGAGACCCCAGTGCCAGGAAGAGTGACTGAGGCTGAGCTTCTAAGTCAGTTTCTCTAGGTGTGGATCTGTGTTGCTTGAATCAGTCCCCTGGGAGGAGCTGTCTACACTGCATATATCCTGAGCCCCGCCAGGATCAGACATTCTGTGGGCAGGGCCTGGAAATCTGCAGTTTTAACCAGTGCCCAAGGGATTGGAGTCAGAGCCATTGCAGTGCAAGGTGGGGACCACCAAAGAGTTTTTATACGAGGAGTTTGCTTCACTTGTGTGTGTGTGTTTCACTCATGCTCCACAGCGTAGCGCACTCCTGGAGATCCCTGCTGAGCCTTGCATGTGGGAACTCTAGTCTTTTTCAGGTTTCCCGGGGAAGTTTGTGGATTAGCCATAAACCATGCAAACCCTTCTGCAAGTGTTTGTTCATACACGCATCATTGTTTTCCAGGAGGAAGTGGAACCCTCTGGGTGGGGCTCCGGGCCTGCTAGGTTTTTGTTGGGGAAGAAAAAGCAGATGAGGTGGGGTCTGCCCTGGGTGAGAAGGTAACACGCTTGGTTTCCTGGTGTCCTTCCCAGGAGCAGCAACCAAGCTGGACGGATGACCTGCCGCTCTGCCACCTCTCTGGAGTTGGCTCAGCCTCCAACCGCAGCTACTCTGCCGATGGCAAGGGCACTGAGAGCCACCCACCAGAGGACAACTGGCTCAAGTTCAGGTGAGGGTGCTGGCAGCGCTCTCCTGGGCACCAGAAGTAGGTTTGCAAGCAAGAGAAAGCAGTTTTGCAGGTGTTTTCCGTGGGGCTTCCTAGTGCGATATGGCCCACGAGAGGTGGTGTCTGCTGCTGTCCCTTCCACATCTAGACATCAGACCAGCTGAAGGCCTGCTACAGGGGGCAGGGGTATCCTAGAAAGCCACGGCCGGAGTGCAATGATAGTCAAAGTGGGGGACCCACGTGGGCATCTGAAGCCACAGCTGCTGTGTCTTTTGTCTCCCCAATACCTTTCCTTTCTCCCCCTCACTCTGGAGCTGGCATCACTCTTCTGTGAGCCCCTGGTCTCAGGCCACCTCCTGCCCTCTCCCTCTGTCAGGAGTGAGAACAACTGCTTCCTGTACGGGGTCTTCAACGGCTACGATGGCAACCGGGTAACCAACTTCGTGGCCCAGCGGCTGTCTGCGGAGCTCCTGCTGGGCCAGCTCAGCGCCGAGCACACTGAGGCCGACGTGCGGCGGGTCCTGCTGCAGGTACGGGGGCTCGGGCTGGCTGGCCGTGGCTGAGTTCCCTGGGCCTCGGCCCTGCGACAGCAGAGCGTGCGGTTAGCCCGGGGCTGGTCTGAAGACCCCACTGGCTCCTTGTCTCTGCAGAAGAACCAGCTCTGGGAGCCTCTCCCAGCGGCAGGGGCAACCCGCTTCCCAGGTGCAGGGCCGGGCAGCCAGCAGCAGTCCTTCCCCACGCCTGGCAGGGTCGGCTCTGGACGAGGTGCTCCTGGGGAAGGGGATTCTGGACGTCACCTTGGACGTGGGGCATGGTGGCGGCTGCTGAGCCCTGGTAGACAAGGTCGTTGAGGGCGGCCCTCTCCCCCCGCGTGGCTCAGGCACTCAGTCACTGGGCGCTCCCCAGGCCTCCTCGCTCCCGCTGGGCTTGTGCTGGTTTTGCCACTTCTGCGTTTGTGCTTGCTGCTGTTCTGGAGTTTGTCCTCCTGGCATCGCCTTTTGGAAGCAAGTCCAGGGGCACTTAGTCTTAGATGAGAAGTGTGGATTCCTCTTCCTCGAAAACAGCGTTCCCAGCCATTTTCCTGCCTTGGCATCTGCGGGCCCGCGCGCCGGCCGTGGCCTTAGGGCCCAGTGCCAGTGAGTCTCAGCTGGCGCCCTTGGGAAAGGCGGCAGCGTGAGCTGTGTTGAGGGGCCTTCAGGGTGTGGCAGTGACACTAGCTGTCACTGACCTAGACTTAGTCTGAGCCGGGCGCTGGGTGCTCAGGGCGGACACCCTCAGTCACTGTCAGAACAGCACTTCCTCTGAGAAGGCTGCGCTGCCTGGCCGGCAGGTGCCAAGCTGGCCGTCACCCTCAGGCAGCCTGACTCTGAGCCTGTGCTCCCCACCTCTCTGCCGCTTCCCGCCTCTCTGGTCACTCTGCACTGCCACCTGGAAGGCACCAGCCCCACGGGGCCATCTTCATCAGACCTTGCTCTGCGGGAGCAGCAGTGCCTGGTGGTGTGCTGTGCGAAGCCCCATCACATGGTAACCTGCAGTTGATGCAACTTGTTGCCGTTAATAGCATTTCAGCCTCAGATGACAGTGGTGTTTGAATTGGCCTTTGCTGCCTTGTCCTCTGCCTCCAGGCCTTCGATGTGGTGGAGAGGAGCTTCCTAGAGTCCATCGATGACGCGTTGGCAGAGAAGGCGAGCCTCCAGTCCCAGCTGCCTGAGGTAACGTCCCCAGCCTGTGCCCCACGAGCAGCAGATCAAGGTCCAGCTTTGCTAGGAGCAAGGACTCATCTGCCATGTCCCTCCCAGGCCATTGATACAACTGGGCCAGAGCGGCAGGCGTTAGGGGACAGTTTCTGATGGGATGCAGGTGGCAACGGGTCTGCCCTCCTAGGGCCCTCCTTGGCTGGCTACGAGCAGCCATACTCTGCGACTCCACTTGGGGTGGGCATAGGGTGTGAGAGAAGCTCCTTCCAGGTCGGTCCTCGGCCCGAATCTGTCCAGGCCTCGTCACCTGCCTGCTCACGTCATGCGCAGGTACCTTCAGGGCCGACGGGACGAGTTAGGTCACGCCTGGCTCTCCTGAAAGAAGCCTGCCCTGGGGCTGCAGCCAGCTTCCTTCCCGGCCAGGCCTCAGATGCTCTGTCTTTAAGGGAGGGGAGGTTGGTGAGATGCTCTCCAAGGCCCTGGCCCGCTCTGACTGCCGGTGATGGCTTCTAGGGCGCCCCTCAGCACCAGCTGCCCCCTCAGTATCAGAAGATCCTCGAAAGACTCAAGACGTTGGAGAAGGAGATTTCGGGAGGAGCCATGGCCGTGGTGGCGGTCCTTCTCAACAACAGGCTCTATGTCGCCAATGTCGGTGAGCCACCTGCCTGTCCCAAGGCGGGAGAGCAGGGGAGAAGGTCAGCCTCTGGATCTGTGTGTCCTTTGGGCGGTCTGCTTCCCAGACACGGAAGACCTCCACCTCGAGCGTCCTGAGACCACTAAGTGTTTCCCGTTAACTCCATAGGACGTCTCAGTCCCAGGCCGGGGCATTTGAAGTACCTGCTGAGAGGCTGGTGTCCCGGCTTGAGTCCCCCCTGTGCCCCTAACTGGCTTGTGGCCTTGGGGAGTTGTGTCCCCTCTCTGGGCTACCTCAGTGGCTTCCTTGTCTAGAAGAAGTTGCCCGGCTGTGGAAGACCCACTTGGCATGAAGGGCGGCAAGATGGGCTGGCTGTGGGCTGGAGGGTGAGAGGTCACAGGGACGTTTGGATTTGTAGGTGAAGGGCCATGTTCGGCCTGAGAAGGCGGTGCCCTCAGGGTGCAGTTTACTGCAGGGGCTCTGGAGAGACCCCACTGATACAGTCCCTCTTCTCTTCCTCCTTTCCTTAAGATTTCGTTACGGAAAAAATTCAAAACTGTAATAAACAGCAGAGTGAAGAGCATTTAATGAACTGCTGTGTGCCCATCCCCCAGCCCCAGCATCCTCCCCCGGCCAGCCTCACTCATCTACAGCCCTCTGTCCCCGCGTTGTTGTTAAGCAAACCCAGACGCTGTGTCGTGCTATCTGTAAATACTGCAGTGTGGCTCCTTAGAGGAAAGGTCTCGTTAAAACCCTAATCATAATTGTCCTCGGATGTCACTGGAAAAGTGTAACCTAATTCCTTAATATTATCAGCTCTCCCTGTCTGGTGACTGGCTCCAGTGGTCTGAGCCTATTTTCTTTGCTCATTTCAAGGACTTCCATGTGTGAGATGCTTGCCTTTTCTCTCTTTTCTCAACGTGTCCCGTTCTTCACTGTGCTCTCAACCTTTGCTCAGCTGCTCGAATTCTTCTGCAGGTACGAACCGTGCGCTTTTATGCAAATCCACGGGGGATGGTCTTCAGGTGACACAGTTGAACGTGGACCACACCACGGAGAATGAGGATGAGCTCTTCCGGCTCTCACAGCTGGGTGAGTGGGGGGGCGGGGCCTGGTGGCCCACCCTGTGCCTTCTGTTGGTCATGTAGAGAAAGGCATGAAGTGGACGGGCTGTGACCTTGGGCTTGGGACCAGCCTGCCTGGGGTTGAATCCCAGCTCTTCCACTTACTAGTTGGTGATTTTGGAACTTACTCAAGTTTTCTGTGCCTCAGTTTCCCCTTCTGTGTAATGAGGATAATAGTAACACTTAACCTCAGGGTGTTGTGAGGATTGAAAGAGTTATTACATGTGAAATGCTTCCAGGAGTCTCTGGTATGCACTGTTATTGGTGGAGACTGAGAGGCCAAAGAAGTCCTGGGGCTCCAGCTGCCGCCATGGCCACCCCCTCCCTTCCCTGTGAGCCCAGGCTGCAGAGGGAGCTGAGCTGGGCGGTGCTGGATCTGCTGTCCCATAGGGGAGGACTCTGAGCCACGGGTGTTCTGATGGGGATGGGGGCTGAGGACACTGGGGGACTTTGGGCTAACTGCCCTCCAAGGTGCCAGCTATGATTTCACTTCCTGTTCAGTGCCTTGTTTTTGTGGATATGTCTGTATCCCCTTCTTTTGGTTCTTCTTTATGAACAAACTCTGAGGTTGTCGTGTTGTTCTTCCTCTGGTAGGTTTGGATGCAGGAAAGATCAAGCAAGTGGGCGTCATCTGTGGGCAGGAGAGCACCAGGCGCATTGGGGACTACAAGGTCAAATACGGCTACACTGACATCGACCTACTCAGGTGAGTGGCCGGCCTAGCTGCCCCCATTTGTAAGACCAGAGGCCTGGGGCAGATGCAGATTGTAGGCTCTAGGGACAAAAGGTACAGTTGAGGTAGTTTGGAGCCCAAGGAGATGCTTTCATTCTCCCAGAGAGGTTGGTGTGGGGCAGGCCCTGGACCCAGCAGGCAGCAGGCCAGGAGTTGGGGTCCTGTAGAGCTAGGCTGGCAAGGGGTTAGGTGGGGAGCTGGGCCAAAGCCAAGGGCAGCAACCAATGCCATAGGGCCTGGCAGGAGAGGCCAGAGTTGGCATGAGCTGCCTGGTGTGGATAGAGACAGACGGAAGGCCTGTTGGTCGGTATTGTCATGACTGGGGCCAGGGCGGGGCTGCCAGATGGGTTGTCCCTTCTGGATGCCACCCACTGCTCATAGCAAACAGACGATGATAATAACGTGAGCCTCCATCCAAGCCCATGCGCAGTTTTTTCCATCCACTCTCTCACTCAGTCCTCAGGCCCTATGAAGTGGGTGCTTTTATTGCCCCAGAGGTATTTTCATATGAGGAAACTGACACATGCAGACACTAGGTAGCCTGCCTGGTCTCAGGGCTAATAGTGGGCTTAGGCAAGACTTGAAGCCAGGCAGGCTGAATTCAGAGCTTGTGTCCTGAACTACGGCGGCCCTGTATGCGACAACACTGTGTGTGTGTGTGTGTGTGTGTGTGTGTGTGTGTGTGGTGCCCACCTTGTGTCTTAGAAAATATGTGTTACAGCTCCTTACCCTCACAAGGTTTAAATAATTACGTTTGGAACCTTTTGTCTCTAATTTGTCGGGTTCTGTTTGCTTTATGGAAAGGTCCATCTGTGGTTTAAAACAATTCAAACAGTGCCCAGGATATGCAGTGAAAAGTGAATCTTCCTCCCACCCCAAGCCCAGACTCCTTCCTCAGAAGCTGCTAGTTTCTGAGGTATCCTGCCCTGGAGTTTCTGTGTACGTGCGCGCATGTGTGTGCGCGCCGCATGCACTGTGCATGGCGCGTGCTTGTTGGGGGTGGGGAGGGAGCAAGTTGCTTTTTCAAAACACCCACAAATGCTAGCATTCCGCGCCCAGTGTTGTGCACCTCACTTTTTTCAGTCTAGGCACCCACTCCTCCATTCCTGCACACCTACAGTTTAGGCTGGCAGCATTCTTGGTAACAGTTGCTAGGATTCCAGTGTGTAGCTGTCAGCACTCACCTAACCCGCCCCTACTGATGGACCGACCTTCAGGATGTTGCCAGACTCACTCTTTCAAATCCTGTTGCCGGGAACATCTTCTTATCGTTGCCCTGTGTGCATGTGTGCATGTTGGAGCTTCCCGACATTGACCAGCTCTGATGGTGCATCAGTTCATAGTCCCTCTGCAGCTAGAGTGTATGTGGGGCCTGGGTCAGCTTGGAGGAGCCCAAGAGGAGTGGGCTTTTAAAAGAGAACCCATCCCTCTGGCTGTCCTACCCTCCCCCTGCCACCCCCCAGCTCTGTGGACAGGAAATGTGGAGTGGGACCAGGATTGGGCATTTGACCTTGGCCGTTGTGACCCCAGCCTCGCCCTGGCTTTCCTGGCCCTCTGAGCTTTATTTTAAGAGCTGCCCTCAGAAGACAGGTCTGTTTTTCTGGTTTTCTCTCTCCTCTCTTTCTTTTCCTCTTGTCAGATGTGTGTTTTATTTTACATTCTGGATGTAGATTCTTCTCACCAGAATAAATGTCCCCAGGGGGCCATTCCAAGCACAGCTGTGCCCTCTGCTCTCTTCCCACAGCGCTGCCAAGTCCAAGCCCATCATCGCGGAGCCTGAAATCCACGGTGCACAGCCCCTGGATGGGGTGACTGGCTTCCTGGTGCTGATGTCTGAGGGGCTGTACAAGGCCCTGGAGGCAGCCCACGGGCCTGGGCAGGCCAACCAGGTGAGCTGGGCCCGAGCAGAGCTTGGCTGGCCAGCCTGCAGGGTGGCATGCTCCCCAGAGCTCTGATTCTCACATGCTCTCACCAGACATCTTCTCTGGGTTCAAAGTTGGGGGAAGAAAAAGCCCAGAGTTCCAAGAACACCCATCCTACCCAAAAGCTTTGCTCATCTGGGCTTGAAGCAGTGCCAGTCCCCAGGGTCCTGAGCAAAGCCTAAGGGAAGAGGGTGAGGGAAATGAATTTCCACAGGCACACGTGGCTCTGGAGACTGGGAAGGGCCCGGGTGGGCCGCGGAGGAAAGCCCAGCAGGAGCGCGGCCTGGTACATAGAGCGCCGGCCAAGGAGTCATGCGGCCCGCCCAGGTCCCGCTCCACTGCCTCCGTCGCTTCCCTCTTTGAGCTGCAGATGATACACAGTTCATTCCTTGTTTCTGAGATGGGGATGATGACTTCTGCCTTTGTGGGGTTGTGATGAAGGCTGGGCGTGGTAGACACAGGTTCTCAGCCAGGGGGAGCTGCTGCTTTTTCCTACACCTTGGGATGCACGTGTCAGACAGTCGTCAGTAAAGCGGGACTTGGAGGCAGTCACATTGAGGATGACCTTGAAGGGAAGCTGCCTTTACCTGACCTGGGCTTGCTGGGTCAGTCAGAGAAGTTCAGCTTGTGTTTCTCCTTCCATCTGTGATTCTGGTGAGAAGGTAACCTTTTCTGCTCTGTCCTAATTAAAAATAATGAGGGCAAGTCTTAGGCGCCTCACTGTCTCCTAATACCTGTGTTCAAGGTTTTTCATCCATTTTATCTCATTCCTTCCAGTAGCCTTATAACATGGTGGGGGCAGGGGCTCACTGCCATGTCAAGCTAGGGAACTTGGGGCTCACAGAGTTCAGGGTCTTGCCTGAGGTGACAAAGCTGGTCAGTGCTGGAGCTGAGCCCCCCGGACCGGGCCCAGGTCATTTCCCGTTACCTGCCCCTGCCCTCCTACCTCCAAGAGACTGCAGCCAGCCATCACGTAGAGGATTTTGTGTTTATATTTTTTATCTTACCATAAATGTGATCTTTTTTTCCTTTCTTTGCTCTTCGTGATAAGACTATCCAGTGGCTTCTACTGGGTTCTAGAATACACGGGACAGTGGACTTCTCTGAGGGCAGAGACTCTCTCTTCATCCTGACATATCATCTCCTACAATAAGTTTGTTCCAGGAAGGAAAGCCGACAGTTTGTACTGAGCTTAAAGTGCCCTCACGTCCATTATGTTGTTTAATCCTCACTGCAATGCAGTGAGGTGGATATTCTCCCCCATTTCTTTGGTGTGTGGAAGCCAAAAATCAGAGAAATCACAAGGTCACACCTTTTCTAATGAGAAAGTTCCAAAAGAATTATCCTGAATACCTTGAGAAGCTCAGGTTGCAGGCTTGGCCGGTGGGGACGCCCACTTGCTTGGCTGGTGACCCCTAAGTGTCCTGATTCGGCTGTGAAGGTGTGGCCTACACTCCCTGGGCCCCCTTGTTCCTCACCAGGTTTGTGCTCCCGTCGCCCCCAGGAGATCGCCGCCATGATCGACACGGAGTTCGCCAAGCAGACGTCCCTGGATGCAGTGGCCCAGGCCGTGGTGGACCGGGTGAAGCGCATCCACAGTGACACCTTCGCCAGTGGCGGGGAACGTGCCAAGTTCTGCCCAAGGCACGAGGACATGACCCTGCTGGTGCGGAACTTTGGGTACCCCCTGGGAGAGATGAGCCAGGCCGCACCCACCCCAGCCCCAGGTATGTGTGCTGCAAGCCCGTGCCCGAGGCCGTCCGGGGCTGGGGTCGGGGCAGAGCGGCGAGGCCACGGCCTTGCTGCCTGGGGCGGAGTGGAGTCGGGAGGCCTGGCTTTGAGCAGTTCCAGGCCGGGCCCTGACTTTAAAGCTGTCTGAGCTGTGCTTATTTTTCCCCTTTTGTCTGTGAAATGAGGCCAGTACCACCTGCCCTGGCCTCCTTTGAAAGACCTGAGTGCACGGGAAGCACTTTGCAGCACCACGGGCCACATCGCGGGCCACATCGCGGGGACAGCGGCAGCTGCGGGCTCAGTGCCTGCTGTGCGCCAGCCACCTCGCCCGCATATTTCCTTTCGTCCTCATTAACAACCCTTTTACAGAAAGGAAACTGAGGCCCTAGAAGGAAGGGACCTAGCCGAGGTCGGGCATGTCAGAGGTGAGGGAGAGACGCTTTACTCTCCACCTTTTAATTCTAAATCATGTTGCCCAGGAAGAATTACTCTTTTGTTCTCCCTCCCAGTGCTGCTTTAGTGTCAAGACCAGCAGTTCCTGGGGCTGCATTTCTTTTTCTTTTTTTCAAACAAGCAAGCCCTAGCACTCAAGCATCAGATGGATTTGTTCTCCCACGGACACCGGGGTTACTGGAGTTTCTCTAGCTTGTTATTGCAGCCGTATTTTTGTTGGGCCAACCTCAACTAGGAGCATACTTAGCCCTTGGGTTAAAGCACCGTGGGAAGCCAGGCAGTAACCCTTTCGTTGAGGCAGCTCAGCACTTCTCTTCCTGCTTTGAGCACCAGCAGTGCTTTGCTGCTGCGCGGAGGCCCCTGCCTGGCCCGGAGGAGTCTCTGCCACGGGTACTCCTTCGCTGTCCTAAGGGGCAGAGGGTCAAGCTAGGGGATCCGAGCCGGGCCACCGCCTACCTTCTCAGGCCCTGGAGCGGCCCTGTTGCTGCCACCCCAGGGTCCCCCTGAGCCACACCCTGTAGCCCACCACTCTCTTCCTCCCACAGCTGCAGGAGGACGCGTGTACCCCGTATCAGTGCCTTACTCAAGCGCCCAGAGCACCAGCAAAACCAGCGTGACCCTGTCCCTCGTCATGCCCTCCCAGGGCCAGCTAGTCAACGGGGCCCACAGTGCCTCCACCCTGGACGAAGCCACTCCCACCCTCACCAAGTAAGCGGCCACCCCCAGCCCCAGCCATCTCAGGCCTGCTTCCTGGGCACAGCCCTGGGTCCCTGGACAGGAGTGGCCGTAGGGCCACGTCCTGTGCCTGAGGAACCTTGGATGAGACGCCCTGAGATGTGCTGGGGTCTTGTTCCTCTCAAATCCCCCAGTTCCATCCCTGGGGAGGCCTCCGTAGCCTCCCAGGCGGGACTGCAGCTTCCAGCAGCTCCTTGAAGCCGGAAGGGAGGGGGTGGAGACAGGCAGCTCGTGCTGACAGCCTGCTGCTCGTTTCTGCTTGCAGGTGCCATGTATTCGTTTTCATTTAATGGGAAGGTTGTCCTCTTGTTCTTTTCTCTTCTCCCGTCTTGGAGTGTGTGATCTGGGGGGCCTCCCCCATGGTATCTGTGCTTGTGGGACATTGTTTGGCCTGTGCCGGCTTATGAGAGCCAGTGCTCTCTGACTGAAGCGTCCGATTTTAGCTTTGAAGCGAGTTCTCTAGTTTCAGGCTGGGGGAGGGGTGGAGGCAGCAGGGGGTCTGGAGCCTGGGGGTGTGGTGGGCGGGCCCCCTCCTCACTCCTGGCAGACCTGCCTGACAGGTCGGGTGTCTGCCTCGCCCCCTCCACATCTGGGGAATGTACCCCCACCTGCCACACCAGGGGGCTGGGCTCTGGTTTCCACATTCCAGCCCTGCACAGAATAATAGAGGTGCCCCACCCAGCCCACTCAAGATCTGGCCGGTTGGAAGGGCCACCGGGAAGGTTTCCCTGTGCCTCGCAGGGGCCTTTCCTGCTCCCTGCCCCCAGGCTGCTGCCGCCTCCCCTGTGGGCTGGAGGGGCCTGCCGGGCAGCTGAGTGATGGGCATCCTAAGCATTGTACGGGTGGCCTCCCCACCCCTGCAGGGCTGCTCAGAGGAGCCACCAGCTGTGTCCACAAAGGCAGGGCGTGTAGCAGCCATCCCAGACCAGGCAGGAGAACCAGCCATTCTTCTGTGCCTCCAGCTCCCTGGGTCCCTCCATCCTGCGTCAGAGCTTAGTTGCCCCCACCCCCACCCTGCTGCCGGGCTGGCCCAGCTCTGAGTGCTGGGAGTGTGCAGGACAGTGGGTTAGCAGGTAATTCCCAGATGTTACAGGCTGTGTGGCAGAGGGTGGGTGCCCGGGGAGCTCTGGGAACATGGGGGGCCCGTCCCCACCCAGCTTGCGAGAGAAACGAGGAGGAGGGAGTAGGGAGGTTTTCTGGGAGAAGAACCCTGGCCTGCCTGTGACCAGTGGGGTTTGGTCTGGGATGGATTTGGAGAGGTTGGAGTGGATGGCGCCCAGCTCGGCGCCGCTCCGCGGGTGGCAAGTTCTGCATCCTACGCAGTAGCCACTAGCCACGCGGATTATTGAGCACTGAAGTGAGGGTTCCATTTTATTTCATTCTAGTTAATTTAAAGAGCTGCATGTGGTTAGAGCTTCAAAAATACATTTGACTTTTCCTCTGCCCCGAAGGACATCTGGCCGGCTGGCCCTCGTGGTTGCCTTTGTGGCCTGTGCCCTGAGGGGCTGGCCAGACGCCACGGCCCATCACTGATTTGCCCCTGTTGTGCTCCCAGCCAGAGCCCGACCCTGACCCTGCAGTCCACCAACACGCACACCCAGAGCAGCAGCTCCAGCTCTGACGGGGGCCTTTTCCGCTCCCGGCCCGCCCACTCACTCCCGCCCGGCGAGGATGGCCGCGTCGAGCCTTACGTGGACTTTGCGGAGTTCTACCGCCTCTGGAGCGTGGACCATGGCGAGCAGAGTGTGGTGATGGCGCCGTAGCCCGGCCGCGGAGTGCAGCCCGAGCAGGACCTTGCCTGGGGACGGGGCCCAGCTCCGGCAGGACGGGCCTTTTCCTGCCATTTGCCTGTGCCCCAGGGGCCAGCAGGGCCTGGTGCTCAGCCTGCATCGTACTCTCACTCCACAGCCTGTGGTGCTGTAGAGAATGTTCTCTCAGTGCACCAACGCAGACCGGACCCCTTGCCACGGCGGCAGCACAGGGGCCGGAGGCTCAGTCCCCCGGCAGCCTCAGCCACGACCATGGCTGTTTCTCAGAACAAGGGGCACAAGGGCGGCAGCCCACAAGCCCCGCGAGTGGCAGCCACTGCTTTCCCAAGGCCACCCCCTTCCCGACACCATCTCCCCTGGTGGAGCCTGTGGCCACTGCTAGCACCCCCTCGCCCCTGGGGGGTGGTTCTCGCCTTCTCCAGCCGGCCTCCAGAGTGGAACCCCAGTTGGCGTCTGCACCTTCGAGGCCTGCACCCATCCCTGGGCCCCGTCCCTAGGCCTCTTTGGGCTTAGGGGCACTGGGATGGCTGCAGAGAGGGCAGTCAGGTGGAAAGGAACCGGAGAGAACTGGTCCAAGAGGAGCACTGGTCCTGGAGCCCACCAGAGTGGGCAGGCTGGGCAGGGCTGGCTCCCCAGGGCCGGGTGAAGAGGGGAGGTGTGCCCGGCCTGAGTGGGGGCAGGGGCCGCCCTTGTCAGGCCCCTCCGGGAGTGGCGAGGCCCTGAATCGGGGTGAGCCAGTTCTGCTCTGCTTTTCCCCGCTGGAGCTGGGGAGGGCCCCAGGGTGGGAGCTGCTAAGACTGCAGTCTTAACCACTGACTGTGAGTCTCTGCCAGCTCTACGGTAACAGACAGGTCTTAGGCCAGGCCTCGGGGCTCACTGGAAACAGAGAACAGTGGAGAATGGTTCCAAAAGGTCCTGGAGACCTGCTGCTCTGGGTGGTCGAGGGCTTTGGAGACGTGCACTGTTTTTACAGACACTTAGGGTGGGGATCAGGCCAGCCCAGGCCCTCAGTGAGACCATTTCATGCATGTTCTCTGCGTTCAGTGGGGAAGGGGTACCACCAGGGCTGTCAGCTGGAATTGCCCTTCGTATTTTCAGAGGAGGAAGCAGGCTCAGGAGACTCTCACCTTGTCCAAGTCACGCAGTCAGTGGTGGAGCAGAACTCAAACTTTCTTGTCAGTCTCTGAGGCCCCCCTGGGTTCTTGCCAACACCCCCCCACCTGGTGCCCAGCCTCCTGCCCCATGATGCCCCAGACACAGCTCACCAGGGACTGGCTGCTGTGCACGGCCTCCAGTGTGCTTGGACTCTGAAAAGTCGAAGGCCAGTTCCAAGGTCCCATGTGGTCCAGGAACATGTTTTCCTGTGGCAGGGCGGGGCCCATTGTGGTGCCGGTTTCCGAGGGGAGCCGCGGCATGAGCAGAGGAAAAGCGGATCTCGGCAGAGGGCCCTGACCCCCCTCCACTACGAAGCCATCTCCTTGTGCAGGTGAGCAGATTCAAAATCAGTCACAGAGGCTTGGGCACAAAGGGATCCTCTTCCGAGAACGTCTCTCTATGCTGTTTGGTCTCTAGAGATAGAATCACTTTTTTACGTCAGTAAAGAGATAATAAAGGGTGGTATAATGTGTCGTGCTGTTAATAGTCTACGGGTGTCTCGTGTAGCTCGCGGCAGCCCTGGGAGGTGGCCGTCGCCTCCTGCCCTGCTCAGCATCTGGAAGCACCAGCTCAGCAGGCCTGGGAGTGGCAGAGCCGGGATGCGAACCCGGCCTCCGGACCGGACCGGTGCTGCCACCTCACAGCCTGAGGGGAGGGCGCTGGGTTGCTCAGCATCCCCCGAGGTCCCTGCACACCTGGAGAGGGTGACTGTCCTCCCCTGCTGCGCGCCAGCTCCTCCTCTTCCTGAAGGCAAGGCCGGTTCTCGGCGTGTGAGTGTGGTGTGGCTGGCAGGGCTGCGGGTCACCAGGACCCAGTCCTCGCACTCCCGCTCCCCACTGGTCAGTAGACCTTGAGAAGGTTCCTCGGCCTCATTTTGGTTTCGTCTGCATGGAGGATACTCTATGAATACTAGTCCACAAAGCGCCTCTTCCCGCTTTACGGGACTTAAGACCTTGTCCCTCTAACACTGTAAAGTCACGTATAAGGAAGGGTCTGCCTGGGGCCTTGCGTGCAGCAGGTGCTACTTGCCACTTCCCCTGGGAACCCAGACGCTGGGCCGTGGGTGTGGTTATTGCCTCTTCTCAGCGAAGCCTAGAGGGAGGCTGTCAACCGGGCTCCCGGACGTTTCCTCCAGCAAGGGCATCTTTCATGATTCTTCTTTCTGGGCCCCCTGCTTTGAAGCCAAACAAGGACACAGATTCCTGCCAATCCTGACGGGCTCGGCACGAGCACGCGCTTTGTTCCCACGCAGAGGTGATGTCAGCCCGGAGCAAAGAAGGGCATTTCCATGAGCCTCTGGGCGTGCAGCCTCCTCAAGGAGGGACACAGTGTCTGGCAGCCGGCTTTGAGGAGTATTGACACCAGCTCAGGGACTCCATTCCTGCCTCCGAGACACCCCTGCCTTCAGGCTGTGTGGACCAGCTGGCTCATCCAGCCCCTTCTTGCCCCGTTCTCCCCGGTCCCTCGGTGGGCCAGGGCCAGGGTGGGCCTCAGGGCCCCCGCCTGTTTCTGCACCCTCTTGCAATTGTCACTTCAGCAAAGCCTGCCCTTTGCCCAGATGGTGCTGAGCTCAAGAACCTTCCAGAGCTCCTGCGTCCTGCCTCGAGGCACCTGCTGCATTGGAGTCCTTCGTGTGCTTACCCCTCTCCCCCCGCCCCTCCACCCTGGACCCTGCACAGCCCCTGGGCAGGTCGAAGAAATGTCAGGTGAACGATGGTAGGTGCACTGCCCAGAGAAGAACTTCTGGAACTTTCCTACAGGAAACATCTTTACCCTGTAGAAAACTCCCACCCTAGTACCCCCCGAGTTTGGAAGTGTGTAAGCAGTTAGATGTCTCCTTACTTTGAATATCGAGGTGAATTCTGCAAGCAAACCCACAATAATCTCACGGTTGTTTTAGTACAAAAGCAACATTTTTTTCAAAAATAATATTTAAAATTACTTATTGTCAAGTAAATTGATGCTTCAGGAAGTGCTCCACGTCAGTCCTATAGGTTTGTAGGTCTCAGCCCATCGCAGGGAACCCAGCAGGACCCAGGTGGAGGGGCCCAGGTGACCCTATAACACCCGCTAACTGCTACGTGCCAGATGGGAACTTGCGAGGCATTAACTCCTGAGAGGCCCTCACGGTGGTCGCCCCCCACATGCCCCCCAGTGCCACCAGGCAGGGATTTGTGTCTGAAGGTTCACTGGGTCCTATTGTTAGTTCCCACTTTGGAGATGAGGAAATAAAGCACAGACAGGTGAAGGAGTTTGCGCGGAGCGACCAGGAGACAGATTTCTGCTCAGGATCGGAAAGAACTTTCTAATGGCGTGTGAGTTGTTAAACGTCGGAAGGGGCTGCCTATGGGAGGTGGGAGATTCCGATCTTTACGGCGTGTGAGCAGAGCTGCACCCACAGCATCTGATGGAGCCAGAAGCGTTGAGCTGCAGGCCCAGCCTGGGTGCACGTCAGAGCTGTGTGCCAGTGGGGGTGGGGGGTAGTTGTTGAAAATTACAGATTCCTTGGCCCTATCCTGGACTCACAAGTCACAGCCTCCAGAGGGAGGCCCCCGAGTCTGGAATCTCACAAGACCACGTGCTCCTGGAGTTCCTGACTAAAGGCCGGGCTGAATGGCTTCTGCCCTCCTGCCCGCTCCGTGTGCCCTTCCGTGATTTGGTGCTTCTGTGAGTCCTACGTCTGTGTGTCCCTGAGTGGCCTTGGGTGAGGCCCAAAGGCTCTCTGATCCCTGTCTCATCTCAAAATGAAGGTTTACAGTTCAGCTTTTTGTGAAAACAAAGCCCCACGCCTATCATTTAATGAGTTGTAACCATGTACCAGGCATGTACCTGACGTGATCTCACGGGATGGTTAACTCAGCAAGGAGCAGATGTCAGTGATCCCACTATAGACGTAAGGAAGCCAAGACTCGGAGAAAATAAGCCAGGTGCCCGGGATCACACAGGAGCAGGAATTTGAAATCGGGACTTTTCTCTGTGCCCCACAGTGTTTGCTCATGATTTTCAAAGGCCCTTCCAGGCCTGAGAGCTGGGATTTGACGGCAATCTCTCCATGCTAGTTTAACACACTCTCCTGGGTGTAGGAGGGAAACTTTCACAAGGACCCTCTGAGATCAAAGGTCACACTGGAATATTGTCACCTGGTCAAACTTGTCTGCTGGATTGGGGACAAAAGAGGTACCAAGCCTTTCCCAGCACTGGGACTTGGCCCTCAACTTCAGACCAGGCGGGAATCAGCCACAGCCCTGTCCTGGCAGAGCTCACAGGCTGGGGCTACCCCTGACCAAGACTCAGGGGCTCCTGGAAGGCTGCCTGGAGGAAGTGGGCTTGCATCTTGATGGAGCAGTAGTGATCAGCTGGGGGAGGAAGGGAGAGAAGGCAGGAGCACAGGCCTAGGGTGTGGAGGGCCTGGCGGGGCGGCCGCAGGGGGCCTGGGGACGCCATGGGGGTCAGGCCATTCTTTCTCGAGAGTCCTGGAGGAGACAGTGCACGTTTTAGCGGGGAGCGGGGGGGCTGGGCTGACAGAGCAGGTGACAGGGATCTGGGAGGAGAGGCAGGCAGTGGTGGGGTGGCAGGGAGTGAGGAGCAGTGTTGCTGGCGCCAGTCCTTCCCAGGAGGTCCCAACCCCTGAGGCTCTGTGTCTGTAGGACCTAATGAGGTTGGCCCTGCCTCGCAGGGACCAGCAGGGCTTCAGTTCCCTTTAGTGGGGTGGCCTGCAGTTGAGGTCCTGGCCCCAGCCTTCCTGAACTTCCAAGCACTCCTGGGGTCTCAGGCCCAGGAAGAAGGTCCAAGAAGGGTTCAAGAGCAGGTAGGGGGAGGTCAGGAGCTGAAGGCAGAGGGATGTCCCCTCACACTCGGCGCTCGGCGGCTCCAGGCCTTTGCCCAGCTGTGTCTTCTTCCCCGTGTGTCCTTCCCTTTTTCCTCTGTCTAGCGACAAAACACGCCTAGTGCCATCTCTGTGCAGCCCTGAGCCAGAGGGTGTGGGTGGGAGGGTGGAGAGAGGAGGGAGTCAAATGACCCAGTTAAGACTCCTGCCCTGGAGAGAAGATAAAGCAGCACCTGGAGCTCCAGCCCGAATAGGCCCCGAGACCCAGGCTGAGCTGGGGACCGCTTCCGGCTGATGGGTTCAGAAGCTCCCCGGAGTCGGGGCTGGCGTACTTGTGAAGGATATGGGCTTCAGGCTAGTCGTATCCCGACAACCTCCCTAAAGGTGGCAGACTAAACACATATGCCAAACGTCTTCTGCTCCTAAAGCCCCGTGAAGACTACAGAAAGGAATTGATTCTCTTTTTCTTTTTTTTAAGGTATAGGATTCCCTGGCGGTCCAGTTTTAAGGTATAGGATTCCCTGGCGGTCCAGTGGTTAGGACTCCGCGCTTGAAAGCAGAGGACTGGGTTCAATCCCTAGTTGGGGACTAAGGTCCCACAAGACGTGTGGCACAGCCGGAAAAGAAAAAAAAAGTATAAACCCATGAGGATGGGGCAAGCAGGACAGGAGGCAAATGAGTGCAATTTTGAAGCTGGAAAGTAAACGTAGAGTGACGGCTGACTTAACGGACTCGGGCTTCCCTGGCGGCGCGGTGGTTGAGAGTCCGCCTGCCGATGCAGGGGACACGGGTTCGTGCCTCGGTCCGGGAAGATCCCACATGCCGCGGAACGGCTAGGCCCGTGAGCCACGGCCGCTGAGCCTGCGCGTCCGGAGCCTGTGCTCCGCAACGGGAGAGGCCACGGCGGTGAGAGGCCCGCGTACCGCAAAAAAAAAGGACTCAGAAAAGCCACATGCCAGCCAAGCAGGGTGGCAGCTAAGCCCCAGCATGATTTACCCCACAGGACCGCCAAGGGCTCAGCCTGAGCTGGCAGCCCCAAGTGGGGGTAGTGGATGGGGGTGAAATAAGGAGCAGTCAGACCCCCAAATCCCCTCCCAGAGCTGCTAGGTAGTCACCCTCCCCCACCCCAGCAGGAAACCAGAGGCATTCTCTGGCAACGGTAAACCAGGGGTCCCTGGCCTGGGGATAGGGGCATTGTACTGAAAACAGGGAGCTGAGAGTCAGGGGCTTCTGAGTCTGGGGTCCCACCCTTGTCTCCTGTCCTGCTCCCAGCGACAGCCAGGCCTTTACCCTCCAGGCAGGACACTGAAGGTGCTCTCTGGAGATTCGAATCCTCCCAAGAACAAAGTCCCAAAAATACTGACATGGGGGGGAATCCCCAGCAAGTGCCCCCCAAGCCTCCTTTCAGCAAGATCAAGTGTCTGTCCTAACACACCCTGAGGGAGCAGCCGTCTCTTCGACAAAGTGTATCTAGGACTCTGGTAGATAAGGTAAAAAAGACAAACAGAAGCAGCCTTTACCATATGACCGAGCAATTCCATTCCCAGGATATGGAAACATGTCCACACAGAATCTATACACAAATGTTCATAGCGCCATTGCTTATAACAGCCAAAAGGCAGAAACAACCCAAACATCCCTCAGTGGGTGAATGGATA